GAAATGTTTACAAGTGGTACAAGTTTTTCACAGAAGGCCGATAAGATGTGAATGAGAACGTTCTCCTTGAAAGCCTTAGCACAACAACATTGGAAGTTTATTCCAAAATCGTTGAATTTTGACAAAAAAAAGTTTCATGACCATCGCTCATGAATGATGCTTCATAAAACTCACATTAGACTTTCTTTGGAGTCTTGTTCTCCTGTATGAATTCCTTCCAGAAAAGAGCCATCCGCGTGATAGAAGACGCGAACATCACTCGCAACTTCGATAGTCTGGAACATCGAAGGAAGTTGGAGATTTGTCTCTCTTTCATAGATACTTTCACTGCGTTCATGTGGAATAAACATCCTGAGAACGTTTTTTCGAATGAGTTCAATCTTCAGAGATTCAAATCCAACGTGAATCGCTAATTTCGCACAGGCACTGCTTTCAAAGCGCCTTACAGTTTTTTTCTGTAGTGCTAGTTATTTGTCCTCATGAAAAATTGCTGAATAACGTCAAAATCCAGCTTTGCTTGACGGAGTCATAACTGGTGACGAATCATGGGTTTATGGCCAAATCGTTCCAATGGAAGAGCCCAGGATAACCACCACCGCAAAAGCACGCCACATTGTCGTACGGCCGATGAGAATTATCTAGTTCTGTATCTGTATCTGTAGAGTAGGGAGGGTCTAAGTGGTCTAAGTGCTCACAGCACTTAGACCACATGTGACCCATTGTACATCCCCCGAGGAGTGGTGAATGGGTCAGGAGGCATCTCCTTTATATCGGCAGGTATAGGCCAAGACTCGCTGAACACACACTCTCCTATGGACGATAACTCCGGACACTCGCATAGGACACTTCTGACAGTTTCATCTTCCTGTTCACATATCCTGCATCAAGGTTTCCCCACTAGCCACATATTATGGAGGTGTTTTCTTAGTTGACAGTGGCCAGTCAGAAATTCTAGTGTTGATCGTAGATGTTCCTTGGTCGTCGCCAGATATTTCTTCGGTGCCAGCTTGCCAGGGTCGCCAAGGGTGATCCTAGCAAAACTGTATCCTTTGATTTCATTTCATCTCTTTAGGGATTGAGCATGAGTGTGACGTTTGGCTAGTTCCGCAATTGTCGAAGTCATCAGCACGTTGGTGCCATTGGGTTCTGAAATTCTCAGTCCAGCCGCTTCCTCAGCTGAAGAGTCGGCAATGCAACTATCTCCACTCCTGTCGTGCCCTTCAACCCACCTCAGGATAGTGTTATTATCTACCGAGGCTTTGGCTAAATGTTGGTGGCACTCTAGTACTAGCCCTGAGGTAACACGTTGCCTGTTCAAGGCTAATGGGCTTGTCTGCTGTAAGTGCAGATTGTTATGTTTTTGCAAGAAATTTCTTTCCTGGTAATTTTTTTTGTGGCGATTGAGATACCAGCCAATACTGTTTGAACCACGCTGGTATTTTTTCTCATTCCTCACTCAATCCTTAGGCTTAGTGATCTGGAGTTCACTTCACAACCCAAGCCTTCTTTGGTTTTTGAGCCGTCTGTATATATGCGTATTGCATTTGTAGCATCTGACTCTGTGTTTTGTTCTTTTTGTATTTTGTAGGGTTTATTAAACACAAACCAGGGTTCGATCGCATCACCAGTTGCCTGCAGCAGAGGTTGTATAGTAAGCGCTTCACGTCATAGGCTCAGCCTCAATTTACCCATTCCTACGTCGAGGATTACACTAGCCATGCGCAATTGCAACATGGCCATTAACGCATTCTCCTCAATATACAGGTCCAGAAGAGTCAGACCACTAATCAATTACATTGCCGCGATTGGTGTTTCTCTCGAAGCTCCTGTGATGTGTTAACAAGTCAATCAAACGTATACCAGGAGCTGCAGAGAGTAATGAAACCTGAACTTTTCTGTTCAAACCTGTCCTTTTCAGGACTTTTTCATCAAAACGAATTCGATTCCAACGTTTCGTCATCGAGGGACCAACTAGCCGGCCTCCTTCGACGTATTCGACCAACCCAGGCCCGAATACATCTGGAGGTACGCCGACCCAGTACAACTACGGAGCAACTCACGTGAGTTGCTCCATTGCACTGCTGTCTGGGGGCTTAAAACCGCCCGTGTGCTTCCGGAGGCTGTTCTCATCTTCGGGGATAGGGAAGTTAGGTAGGTCAAGGCGCGGAGTGTGTGTCGGTTAGGGAGTAGGGATCGTAGGGAACCCTCTGGTCCGGCCTAGTGCCATCGTGGTGGCCAGTTGTACCCCCGCGGCGCAACTAGTTTAGCAGAAGGCAGGGAAACTAATAATCTAGTCGATCTGTTGGTTTTTAAACGTATGGTGGTGGAGAAGGAGTTACGGGAAATTGAGATGCTGGAGCCGAGTTTCCTTTTTGAAGGAGGTTCGACTGATAGATCATCTGGAAGACTAGCACACACCAGCTCTGGTCTCGGTGCGGCAGGCGGCCTAGGGGTTGCAGATGTCTCAGGATTCCATGCCCAGCCGGGTGTCATTTCTAACAGACATCCCCAGGTACCGTCCTGGCGACAGGTCAAATATGTCATTCATATAAACAGTGAATAATATCTGGCCTAGTAGAGTCCCTAACGGCACTCCATACTTAACATCTCTAAATGAACTAATTGAATCACCAATTTCAACACATTGTTTTCTCTTATTCAGATAACTGGTTATCAACGAAAATCCCCCACGAAAGCCTATTCTTTCCATTTTTTCGATCAGGTCAACATGGCTGATGGTGTCGAAAGCTTTAGCCAAGTCGACGAAGACGCACAAAGTTGGTCTTTTTCGATCTATCGCCTTGTAATTTTTTTCTGTTAGGTGAGCTATTGCATCCTGCGTTGACCTGGCGTTCCTAAATCCAAAATGATGATCGGAAATAATTTTATATTTATTTAAATATAGGGATATTCAATTTTTTAGGATCTCTTCAAATATTTTAGCCGTATTTGATATGAGTGAGATAGGCCTGTAATTTATTTAGCTCATACAAAGAACTTGGATGCGATTTTTGAATGTTCTGCAGTTTCACCAATACATACCTCAGTTCCACAATTTAATTTATATACAACTGATTCCTCGAAGTTGGATCATTTGTCTTCATAATTTTTAATTTACTGCCCCAACTTAATACCTTAATATATGCAATTCCAATATCTTGTTTATTCAAAACTGAAGCCACTTTTCCTGTCGTTTATCCAGAATATATTGGAGTTCAATAATTTCGATTATCTGATTTATCAGTAAAAAAAACCCCCCGATTTTTTTTTGCGTATACTTTTTTGGAAAGTATTTCGTTCATTAATTCAGCTTTGAATCCGTTGTTTACTGCAATTTGCTAAATGATATTGAGTGATATTGGAAACTTGAGAAAAGAAAAAAACATAATTCAAAATCTGAATCAAAATGATGTTATCATTCTTGAAGAAGACCAAGGATATTTGGTCATATTATTCGACAAATGTAATAACTAACCAATGCGCGTCCAAGATAGTTTCAGAAATAACCAACATAATTGAAATGTGTCGAAACCTTGTTACTGGCTGAAAGTAAATGAACTTTTTATTCGAAAGTTTTTCGCTTTTTTACTCTGAATCAAATTACACCAATTTCTAGTAAACCAGGAACTAATCTTCATACTATGGACATCATGTTGTCAATATTTGAAATCAAACTCATTTCATTCTCAAAAAAAGAATTTTTTTCGTTTCCAGTGATGATCATCTACCTCTACTTCAAAATGTAAATGATATGGCATGGATTTTTAGAAAGAAAGCTCAGCCTGAATTGAAAAATGATTCCACTGATTGATAAGGGACTCCTGTCTTTCTTCCCAAGTCAAAACTTACTAACCAGCAATATTCTCAAATAATTCGTTTTGACTGTCCATATTTGAAAACTCATTTCGAAAACTCCTATTTTAGGTCATGAAATTATGTTTAGTCAATTGAATTGAAACTAACAAGTTTATTGAAATATATTCACAATTTTTTGTATTATCAAACCTATACCTACACAATTTTCCAAAAATATAAAGGTATATTCATAGAATATATCCAAAATACGAAAATATTGATACAAAAAATCTTACTTATCTCACAAGTATATTTTTATGAAGAATGTATGTATTATATATAGGATGTTCATACTAGAAGAACATCGTTGGAATATGGAAGAGCCGCATACGCATAGGCGTTATCATTTACAGATGGCGCCACGTATGCGGGTAACCCGGAATATTCCACTGGAGCATTATAAGTTAGTGGTGCAATTAATCCTGAAGTATATGCCAGTCCAGGTGCGACATATGGTGAAGAATATAGATTGGAATAGTAATACTGGGGCCTAGGCTTTGGATTGGGGACTGGAGCTGGAGCTGCGCAGATAACTGTCAAAGTGGCAGAAACGACCAGAACCTGTGGAAATGGATATTTTCAGTGAATTGATTGATGTAGCCAATTACTATGTGCTAGGAGATCATCATAAAAAATTAGTAATGGAATTTTTATGGTTTTTAGTACTTTTATCTGTAACTTTCGTCACTGCAATTTCTTCTAAAATGGACATTTTCAAAATAATACAATAATACTGGAAATGAATAATGATGTTAGCCCTTATGTTGTGTTTTTGGTTATAATCAAACAAGTATTTAATGCGGCTCGTTTATTACTAACTAGCAATATATTCGGATTCGGTCTGCGGTACATTTGGGTCCGAGAGTCTTTTTTCACCTGACGGAGTGAAGGTAAATTTCTGAGGATTCCAAATAATTAAGTTTCCTTGCTTACATAGTGCGAAATTTCCGTATCGTTTATATTCGGGAACTTGTGATTGCATTTCTAGGAATGGTTTGAAAACATTGAATCATTTTTACCTAGTCTGAAGGACCTTTCATGTTAAGCATATCGTTTTTGGAAATTTCGGCCACATTGTCCCACATAAACGATATTGAACTCTGGACACAATTATACAGAAAGGTCATAATAATGATTTCAATGCAGACACAATCCAGAAGTTATTCAGAAAACAAAGCCACAAATTTACATACAGATTGATATACTCCCAGATCGAACAATCAGAAATCAAGAAATTTGTAACTCTATCATATTTTGGTAAATTAAAAAAGACAATTACAGGTTTTTTCAGAAAACAAAATATGAGAGTGGCATTCAGAACACATGTCAGGTTATCTTATTTTCTTTTTGATGCTAAAGATAAAGTAGACAAGATGGAGAAATCTGAAGTTCATAAGCTCAAGTGCCCAGAGTGTAATAGTGTTCATGTGGGACAATGTGGCCGAAATTTCTCAAAACTGTATGCTGAACATGAAAGCCTTCCAGACTAGGTAAAATGATTCGACGTTTTTAAACCATTCCTTGAATGCAATCACAATTTCCTGAATCTAAACGATACGGAAATTTTGCACTATGCAAGCAAAGGTTTGAAATTCATAAGCATAAACATTGCGGGTGCAACCTGTTGAAATGATCAAATCGATTTAGTTTACTCGCCAGGTTTCAAATTAGTGTATTCATATTGTCCCAGTTACATAATTGAGTTGAGTACCTCTGTTATTATAGTTCAAGTAAACGATATAGTGCGTCCTACCTTCCAACAGTTTCCTTAATAAAAGAATTAGGGAGCTAACTAATTTTAAGAGGGAAAGTAGGAATTCAAATAACAGAGTGATGATTGAAAATACTTCTGAATACTACTTACTCGCACATGAATAGGTGAGAACCACAATAAACCCTTGCGGGTTACGGTGGAGGGTCGAATAGGCCCACTAACTTGTGACCTCCTAACCTAACTCTTACTCACATATATATACAATCAATCGCTTCAAAAACACTTCACTAACTTTCTTCGAAAGCTTCTGATAATTCTTCTTTCATATTCTCCGTTTCACTATCACAGTCATTTAAATCAATAATGAATTTATTTCCACCATTGATATGGAAATGTCCAATCTCCATATAGTATTTTTCAACTAAAATTACTTTTTAATCCTCTTCTGCCAGTCTTTTTCGGTAATATTAGATACTTCTTCTTTAACTAGCTCAAGGGCATACACTTTTTCAAATGTGTTTGTCTGTAGAACTTCAAGTAGTTGGTTTTTGGTATCTTCAAAATGGTATCTTCAAAATACAAATTGTTATCCATTGAAAAACTTTGCATTTCATCTTTCCTCGAATTTTTATTCGGTACTTTGATGAGTTGTCTCTAAAGATAGGAAGCGTTGTCAAGAACTATTACACTATTCTCATCCAAATTCAGGAAAAATGTGTTTTTTCAAACCATTCCTCAAAAATATCAGCTTCCATGTTGTTATGATAGTCAACATTGCAGTCCTCAAGTTTCTTCCACATAATTCCATAGAATTCGGAACTCATCCTTTACTTCCTCCGCAATGCACAATGATTAGTCGCGATCCTGTGTTTGCAGGAATGTTAGGCGTACACATTCTCGAACCGTCAGTTCACCCTTTCGTAACTGTGTCGTGAGTGTCATACCAAGTTTCGTCCAAATAGAAAATCTGCCGTTGTTCTTGTCTATATTTAGTTATTTGTTCTAAGCATTTGTTACGCAATTCCACTATTCTTCTGCTTTCCATAACTGCTTGACGTTTGTTTATTATTTTGAATCTAAACCTTAGTTTTTTATCCAATTCTGAAGAGTTTTGTCACAGTAGCTCACGTTATAGTCGGAAGTATTCAATTTCTTCCTCTTCAATTTCTTCCTATATTGTTTTTTTATTGATTTTATTAGATGAACATCTAAAGGTTTCGGTAAGCCCGCTTCAAATCGCGTCTTGCGTTCCTAAGATTTGTTTTTGACTATTTTACGTACAGTTGAGAAAGACATTTCGGTCAAATCTGATATTGCCTGTAATAGTTTTTTTTCCTTCGAAACCAAACTTGATGTGTTGATTCTTATACACATTGAAACATACTCTCTGTGTTTCAATATTCAAATACATCCGAATCTTATTCACTGGTATCACTTTTTCGCATTGTTCACCAGCGCCATTGTAATCACTACATAGGAAAAAGTCTGCGTTGTTATCACATTCTTTATTACTATTAGTACTTGTCCAAGGACGCCACATTTTAAACAAATAACAAAAATTGGAAGTAATTATAACTTCACCAATATTGAATTTCAACACTCAAATCGCACTCAGTTCCTGAACTGAACATTGATAACACGACTCTTCTAACCATCCTCACTTTCTATTGGTCACCGTTACATGACACCAAATTCAATTTTATGATTCTTCAGCCAATCATAAAACTCGGTTAGTAGAAATTATCTAATACGAACCGCCAATTCTTCAGTCCACGTGGATTAATTCGTAGCGGCATTATTTCTTTGATTGGTTTTTTGGCCTTCGACTTTGCCGATAGCTTTAAGAATCATTATATCGGTTACTTCGACTATACCTACAGGGGTGTTATATAAGGGCTAACATTATTATTTATGATGTTTCATTGTATTAGTTTGAAAATGTCCATATAGAACGAAACTGAAGTAACGATACTCACAAACGTTTGTACTAAAGAACATAGAATGTTTCATTTCTAACTTTTCATGAATATTTTTGGATATAAATCACTTACCAATCAAGGAAACTGGCAGTAATTACCAGTTTCAAAGTTAAGATTTATTTTTTTTTCTCCTACATCTGATTAAAATATGGAAATTAGAGACAAAGCGCAAAATTTAATTTCAGTACTTGTGATATATTGGTATTTTGATAAGATTCTGCATTCATATTGATTTGTTCAACTCACAAAAATGATTGGAGAATAGTTTTTATCGAGTGAATTTGAATATTTTGTTTCAGTATTTCATTAAAAATATGTTTATGTGCCATCGCACCCCTACGAACGACAACCGGTCTGCAAGTGTGTTCCAATAATTGAAAATCTATTGCGGCAGTTGTATCGCCAACAGCATATGCAGGAATAACTTCTGTGAAGAATCCTGCACTGACAGCTGTCGGATATAATCCAACGCCCTTCGTGGTATTAGCCAGGGGAGTAGTTGTTTTCTGATAGGTGTCAGTCCATTAACCTACTGTGTAGGGTGTTGAGACTGGCCTGAACGAATTGTTCTTTTAGATGATTTGATTTATAGCCAGTCTTCAAGTATGCCCACTGACTATACGTGAAAGATTTCTTTCCTTTTACGAGGAATTGGGCAAATTTGGATATGCAGTTGGTTACCTCGTTCACAGGCAGATGGAGCGACGACAAACCTGTTGTTTGTTGTAGTCTTCAGCTTAGTTCGAGGAATGATACTCTGACGGAATTCGATTTTCAATTATCGGAAATCATCGACTTTATGTTGATGATATACACTACCTTGCACTGACGAGTGGCCAAACAGCCCGAAACCGGTCTGCAAGTGTGTTCCAATAATTGAAAATCTATTGCGGCAGTTGTATCGCCAACAGCATATGCAGGAATAACTTCAGTGAAGAATCCTGCACTGACACCTGTCGGATATAATCCAACGCCCTTCGTGGTATTAGCCAGGGGAGTAGTTGTTTTCTGATAGGTATCAATCCATTAACCTACTGTGTAGAGAGTTGGGACTGGCCCAAACGAATTGTTCTTAGATAATTTGATGTATAGCCAGTCTTCAAGTATGCCCACTGACTATATGTGAAAGTTTTCTTTCCTCATACGAGAAATTGGGCAAATTTCGGATATGCACTTGGTTACCTCGTTCACAGGCAGATGGGGCGACGACAAACCTGTTGTTTGTTGTATGCTTCAGCTTAGTTCGAGGAATGATACTCTGACGGAATTCGATTTTCAGTTATTGGAAATCATCGACTTTATGTTGATGATATACACTACCTTGAACTGACGAGTGGCCAAACAGCTCGAAACCGGTCTGCAAGTGTGTTCCAATAATTGAAAATCTATTATGGCAGTTGTATCGCTAACAGCATATGCAGGAATAACTTCTGGGAAGAATCCTGCACTGACACCTGTCGGATATAATCCAACGCCCTTCGTGGTATTAGCCAGGGGAGTAGTTGTTTTCTGATAGGTGTCAGTCCATTAACCTACTGTGTAGGGAGTTGAGACTGGCCTGAACGAATTAGATAATTTGAACCCGTAGAAGACCAAACATGTGCGAGCTAAGAACTAACGAGGTCTTACCTTTTAACGTTTGATTCCTAACAGGATAGCAAGTGAAAATCGAGCGTTCAGCCAAGGGCTTGAACCATCGACTCACACATCGGCAGGATTGACTGAGCGAACAAAGCACCCACGTCGAACCGCCTGGCTACCAACAGGACTGTTCGACATGGGTAATTGCACCCATTTCACGTTTTCCATCAAATCAATTTTTCATTGCAGATTCCCAAAAACTAATCCCTCCTGCAATGTTTAAACCATATTCCCATGGCTGGAACTGAATCAAATGAACATACGAAAGCCATTACGTTATGTCATCGTGACATGAGTAGATTCAACTTATCCGTGAAATACAGTCGAAATGTTCTGTCAGAGATGCGTACACCATCTTGCAATTTTCAATGTTCATATGACAGTAGTTGTTTCGAGCGGGCTCTTTCTTTCGGTTCGTATTTGAAAGTAACTTCTATGTTTTATCTACACATCTTTGTTTTGAAATGAATTGCTTCCTTCCTTTTATTGAAAGTTTCGTACATTTCTAGTCTCCTCTTGTGTTTAGGTTGTTTCAAGAAATCATTGATGCAAATTATTTTCATATGGTCAAGCTTCTCTTCATATATTTCCACAGGCACTGATAATAATAATCAAGAAAATCATTTGAAATGAACTTTGTTTACTGATGTTACTGCTTCATGATTATGAAATCGAATCATTCAAACTTACGATAAAATATTTAAGTATCTAAGTTTGCCTCGCGGGAAATGATTCATGAACATAATTAGTAACGCCTGTGAACAATAAAAAATTTTAAGGAAACTTCAACTCACCAATTTGAACATCTTGAATTGTGTAGATCTTTGTTTCACTGTTGCAAAAGTGACACTGAAATAGTTTGGTTTTCCCAATATATACCTAGGTCACCACCTTGAAGGGAATATATTTGGGCTGTAATTAATCCATGAATGGAGAATAACAAAAGCAATCATCATGAAATATGAATATTCCCAGTCCTCACGTTGCTTTATACAAGCCATTCGAATATATTTATGAGTGGCATACATCCTGCATATCGATATCGCGATAAAAAGCATCTAATTGACGGCTGAATTTTAAATATTTTAATTTAAAGGCCTTTGCATTTGTGTTATTATTCTGGTTCATTGAAGAATGAAACAATTGATTCAAGCATTATCAGGAAATTACAATGTAAATCAAGCATCTGTCCTGAAATCAGAGGTTAAAATTATTATTTTTCATAATTCTTCCGTAATCAACCACATTTTTAAAATCAGTGACACAGGAAATTACAATATTATGAGGTTTCTTCTTTTCAAAAATGAATAGAAATGTGAAAAGGGATCTATGTGAAGAGAGATGAGTTAATTTTTTACTTAGGGTCTCAATATGCGCTGACCATTTTGATTTGTCATCCATAACAATTCCAAGTAGTTTAACTACTGAATTGTTGGCAATCGTATTGTTAGTTCAAAAAACAATATTCTGAGTTTTATTTTTATTGAGTTTAAAGCTATTAGAAACGAAACATGTTTCAGCTTTTCTTAAAAAATCATGCGAAGTTTCTTCCAAGTGATCAAGTTTCTTGCCAGAAGCATAAAGGGAGCAATCATCTGCATAACAAATACATTCGATTGGACAAATGTGATGAAATATGTCATTGATATAGATAATGAATAAAAGTGGGCTAAGGATAGAAACTTAAAGTACCCCAAAATTAATGTTCTAGAATTCAGAATAGCTGTTGTCTATAAAAACAGCTTGTCTCCTACCATTCAAACCTGTAAAATACAGGCGTATGCTGATGACATACAACCATACATGCACTTTAAAATTGATGAGTGTGCTGAGGCACAAAATCTCTTCAACACTGATCTTGATTTGATCAATGGGCTATCAAGTGAACATGATTTGAAAATTAATCCTAATGAAACAATGATGATGCACTTTGGATCGCAGAAGAATCGTAAATTTGCAGAAAACAATTTCCGTTTAGAACTAGGTCATACTATCTTGACTCCTGTCAATACAGCTCAAGACCTAGGGGTAATGCTTGACACTGATCTTAGATTCACTAGTCATGTTAAAAATTTAATGAAAAAAGCTTATATGTCATTGAAACTGTTATACTGTAATCGTTCAATTTTGAGCCAACCTCTAAAAAGAATGCTCTGTGATAGTTTGGTGCTAAGCCATTTCAACTACTGTGACTTCATATATTGGCCCTACTTATATGATTCAGATAAAAAAAGAATACAAAAAGTGCAAAATTCTTGTTGCCGCCTAATTTATGGACTTCGTGAGTATGATTCAATTTCTGAAGCCTTCAAAAACTCCCGCTGGCTCAATATGAAAAACCGTATGATTCATCATTTGGGTTGTTTCGTTCATGAATTGATCACCCTTTCCCATTCTCCTCTTTTAATTCAAAAACTAATTCTGCGTGAAAATAGTCACTCAAGAAACATTAGACATAAAAACAAATTAACTATGCCACAACATCGCACTGCACAGTTTCAGAGATCATTTCTTTTTGGTGCTGTAAAACTCTATTATTCATTGCCCGAGCAATTGAAGAGATTCAATATCAGGAAATTCAAATACAAATATAAAAATTATATCTATGATAGTCAGTAATGTCAACTTTTGCTTTTTAGACAACAGATCAATTAAATTGAATTATTTATCAATATCTTTGGAAAGTAATCACGAATTATTATTTTATTTACGGTTCTCATTTCGTGGTACCACTACTGTTAATTACTTTTATTTTTGTATGTTTGCGTGCATTATGGAGTGGTGCTTGTTGGTTGAGTAAGAGTTGCTTAGAGCTAGACTTCGCCAAGGAGTACCAGAATCTCCTGTCACCTATTTTCATTTTCAAATATATTTTTTTATTGTTTTTTTGTATTATCAATAAAGCCGATTTATTATTATTATTCAAATAATTTACATGCAGTACCGCGTATACCATAAAATTGTAGTTTGTCTAATAGTATTGTGTGAGAAACGCAGGCGAAGGCCTTGCTCAAGTCACACATAGACACCAACGTATGTTGACCCGCCTCAAAATCCTCGACTATATGAACCACACGTCTTTGTATCACTTGAACAGCGGAACAGTTCTGTCTGAAGCCGATTGGACCTTCATGTAGCGTTTTGTGCATAGTCAAGAACGAAATTAAGCGGCTTTTTAGAATACATTCAAAAATCTCACCGAAAATTGGTATTATCGATCTTGGATGGTAGTTGGATGGTATTTTTGTCACCTTTTTAAATTATGGGTATCACTTCAGTTAACTTGAATTTCAAGCGGCTTCATCGCACCAGAACCTGTCATTGGCATCGCCTTTGCCAAACAAACACTGAACACCTGGATGGCAACAATCTTCATGGACTTCTGGCAGAATATTCCAGGATTCCACCATCTGACCTGAAAGACCACTTTCCATACAAACTAATCGGCTTCGTTAAGAAGCTGGGTTTATTTGGCCGAGTGTGAATTGGTGTGAGCCACAATAAACCCTTGAGGGTTGCGGTGAAGGGTCGAATAGACCCACTCACTTTAGACCTACCTACCTAGTTCGAATTCATCAGGGAACTCTTCATTGGAGATACGATGATTAAAGAGAATAATCAAAGGTTCTAGAAGGAAAAAACAAGTACTTTTCATTATTTTTCCCGTTATTTCGTACATATCAGGGCAAGATGAATTTTTCAGTTTGAGAATGACGTCAAGAACTTCACTTTCAGTAATTGGATGGAGAAAAAAAGAGTATCTCGGTGATTTCCGTGGGTCAAAAAAATTGAATGCATTCTGATTGCAATCAGGTAGTGTACTCATAATATCACTTGAAATATTGATAAAAAAAATCATTGAACTCGTCAAGAGTTATAGATACATCTTTGGTTACCTTTTTATACCTCTATTGCTTTCCGTGTTTATCAAATTCCAGCATGTTTTAGCATGTTTTGTCAGATTTAAAACTGGTTATAAGCTTCAGCTTTGCCTCTTTTTATCTCTTGATTGTATCTCAATTTGAAATTATTATAGAACTTTTTGAAGAAGATATCATTCGAACTGTCCGAAATTATTTTGAATATCGAGAGAAAGTCCCTCATTTTTCCGAAGTTTTCGTCAAAAAATATTATTTTAAGATTACAGTTGTCATATACCTTTTCAACAGGACAATTTTGTGTGATTAGGGCGTTGTAAAGAGTCGTTAGATAATCGAAAATTTCAACTGGACAAGTCAGATCAACAAACTATGTCATGGGGACATATTCAGAACTTTTTCGTGATTTTCAAAGTCAGAGTATATGGTGAGAATTTGAGACTTATGGTCAGATAGGCATGGTTCGTCAATTGAAGGTTTATCATTATTCTCGTTCAAATAACTTTTAATGTTATCGATGCAAGTGGAGAACGATTGGGAGCAAAAATAGTTGGTCGACTAGTATGTTGATATTGAAGTCCCCAACTGGTATTATTTTCAAATATTCGATCTAGTATAGCAGTGATTTGTTTGAAAAATAACTCAAATTTGCATGAGCTACTAGGTCTGTAACAGGTTATGACGATTGTTCTACTTAAAGACAGTTAGATCGCGCAAAACTCTCCGTGTCCAGGAATACAATCCTGATACAAATCTATAGATACAGATTTCAGGTTATTTTTTACGAAAATGCACTTCTACTCTATTCCTAAAGGTCCAGGTAGCAGGGAGTCTTATATTTTATTGTGAGGAAATACCTAGTCAAAAGGAATTTTATAAATAATAATCTGCTCTTAAAATACTCTTTCGATAGCATCGTGTCCTGTGAATTGAGCCTAGTTTTTTCTACTTTCCGTCTAGCATTTGATTTCATCGAATTACATTCTTTATAGAAATAGCACCTACGAAATTATAAAAAAATATTTTTTCTCAAAAACATCGGTGAGTAAATGTTGCTCTTGATATCCTATTATAGATAATTTCAGTTTTCTATTTTCACTACCAACCATATCATCATGGATTGTTCAAAATTGCTCAATTTTCCACTTCAAAAAATGGTTCTGAATTGATAACTAGAAGTCACTTGTTCACACTATGAAGGATTAATTGAAAATTCTGGTAATAAAACATTGTTCTTGATAAAATGGGATTTTTTATTTCGCATACAGTATAAGTTACGCTACAAAATTGCAACAGTCTTCACTGCCTCATCAACAAAATGAGGTATAACTTCAACATACTCAGCGATGTTACCCAGGAATCCTGGATTATGGTGTGAAGCCTGGACAGCACTGGCAACTAGTTCTGGAGGGCAAGTGCAGAACTGAGTATTATGGATAGGATGTACTCCGTTGATGAAAAAAGGTGAGTTTGGAGAATAATTTTGAAGACCTGGTTTGACAACACCAGGTATAGGACAGGTACAACAACCAGTGTTAGGGAAAAATTGGATACCTAAGTTATTGTAGTATTGGAATACACTGAAGTATTCATTTTTTCCATTTTTATGCAAGCCAGAGATTGCATCAGAAGCTTTTCCAAAAATCAGTTCAGCTCCTTTGGTTGCAACTCCAAATCCCGACCCACCCACTCCAAAATGGGTTGCTCCTTTCGCCACATTCACTGCTCCTTCCACCACTTCTTTCGTAGCTTCTCCAAATGCTCCATCTAAGAACCCAGAAGAAGCACAGGTGATACCCAAAATTGCAGAGAAAGCAATCTGAAAATATTGTTTCTATCAGTTAAAATGTTACTTAGAGGAATGTAGTCTTCCACGGCTGGCGTCAATGTTTTGATTGGTTTTCGTGTTTTGCCATGGTCTTCTTTGGTTACAATCTTCAATAGTTTCAACTGCAACTACGGCAGTCGTCTTCAGTGGCATAGTCGAAGTACTCTTCTTGACGTATCATCTGAAACGTCAGT